ACTGCCCTGTCAGCTTAGCGGTGTACAAAGTATAGTCAGAACTTTCATAAAGCGAAATCTGATCTTATTTTATGTCTTGTTCCTACAATATCTGAATTGTTTAACCAACCCCATCATCTTGAGCATGAGATTTTTCATCGTCATTGGAAATTCTCTTATTTTGTCGATCGCACCTTAGAATAATTAAAATTCCCGTGCACAGCCTCCTCTACTTGCACGTAACTTCGACCCACTCGGATGGCGCAAACTCACCATTTAGGTCCGAGCCCCGCGCCGAGCGTCCTTCAACTCATTGACACGAAAGCCAGGGGAACGCTGACGCATTACTCAGATATCTGATGCATGCGTGTGTCTCTACGATTAGCATTAGGTCCGCCACCTATTGTGAGTGCCGTTAGAAAACATGTGGAGCGAGGACATCGGTGGTTGGTGACGCAATGTACCAAGCTGTGCGAAGATTCCCTAAGGAAACGCAGACCGTTTTCTTGAAGACATCAGGTAGGGAAATTTAATAACACAGAGACGTTCTGTCTGACGCGCATTTCTGCAGCTATTTCGGTCGTTTTGTTTTCTCCAAACTGGGTCAGAACATACCTGTTTTTTTTTTGTTTCTTTTTATTGTGCGAAAAAGCATGCGCCGCATAAAGTGAATGGCTTATCTGTCAAAAAGAATCTATCACCTCGCTGTCATTCAGAGCCCTAACGTTGTCAGTAAGAAAAACACAAAACTATAAAAGTGACTGACGATGCACTTAAAAATTTTCTTTGTTTAGTTGACACTTTTCAAGTGTCCGTTACGAAATACTACACCGGATGTTCCCCACTTCCAGTGGAAAATGGTGACGTGAACAACAGGGCTCCTTCAGAGAAAGAATAGTTGTCGCGAAACCTTCTTCACCAGTTCCAATATCAGGCTTCTGATAATGAAAACCTACACGAGGGCCTTTTTTTTTGGAGTGAACCTTCCTAGACTTGTTTGATAGCGAGCAACACTTTCGTTCTTCTTTCAAACCACAGGTATTGTTTTCTCTAGCTTTTGATTTTTTTTTGTAATCTCAATTAATATTTTCTTCCTTTCCATGAGATAAGTGTTTCAACATACGCAAAAACCGATCCGTGTTGTCATAGTTTTTTTTACTCCATTTATTGTGTGCTGCTTTAAAAAAATAAAAGCGTCTTTGAATTTAATGAGCGTGCACGACATAGGAGCATTATAAAAAGCAATACTATTGATTATTCTGAGGACTAGAAAGCGCTCGCTCCTTTTTATCCCCGTAAATCCGACCGAAAACGCGTTGTTTGCACAGGACACGAGTATCACTGGAAGACTCAGCTTTCGAACCCCTAGACTCACAGCTCGGGTCAATTTTACTGGAGTGAAGGGGGACGGATGGCTGAGAGATCTCGTATGAGTCATTCGCCTGGCCACAAACAAATATCACATTGTTTAGTTCTTCGCGAGCTGTGTGGGGGCAGTGTTCATTTCAAGTGTGAGTCGACCTAGCAGGAGAAAAAATAGGCACGGGAAGCTTACAACCAAGTCAATATAATAAGACCTTTGCGCCCAAACCAGTCCAAATGATTAAGTCTTCCTTAGACTTGGTAACAAGAAAGAGCAATTATAGGTTCCTCTGATAAAACATTTAAAGTGAAGCTCCTTGACCGGATACACTGGACGATCATAGTTAGAGTAAAACAATGGGGAGAAAGGGAGAAAAAAATAAACACCAATAGTGTTTCCGTGTTGCAGGTGGCCAAACTCGCGGGTACACATGGGGCCACATCCCAGGACAAAAACGCGGCACGCCATCTGGCACATTTGAAACCAAAGTATTCAAATTGACACGTTCTTATTCTTTCAGACGCGCATAAAACCTTCGCGTTACCATCGCATTTTTTTGTTTGTGCCTTAAAAGCCGTGATCGCAAATATGAATTTACTTTATTTCGGCGTTGCAACAGGTCTTGATAAAACGCCTCGCTGCCGCTCGTTCTAGTTTGGGCTCCATATTATATTTTATTACCATCATTATGCTGAAGTCTCTATTCCATTTATATCGCCTATGCACAATACGAGATTGAGGGCGTATTTTTCTTTGCCTTGTAAGTGAAGCATACGGTATACACGTGCACGATGTATAACTCGTGAGCGCACGACGCGAGATCGCCAACGGGAGAACTGACGAAACGAGTGCACGCAACCAGATAAGCACATTTGAACGCCTTTGCGGCTTTCTGTTGCGGTTTATTTGCGCATGCTTCCACGCTAATGAGGAGCTAAATGAAACCCCATGCTTGGGCCGTAAGCGTTGACACCGTTGAACACCAAATATAAAACGGAGTATAGGTGTTATCATTCGATGAGAAATAGCCTTTAAGAGGTCGTGTTCTGCCGCTCAACATACTTTTGCAGAGTTTTAGGCAGTTCGGGTTATGAACCGCCAATACTTCCATTCACTCCGCGTGCGAGCGAAGCCGAAGCTACTAGCAAAAGCATGTCGTCCTGAAGAATGCCTTCACTGCACGACTGTGCACGCTTAGCAGAGAAGCTTAAAACCCGGAGATTGCTCTTATAGCTTCTGCTACGCTCGAACTTTAAGTGAACCCTCACAAAAAAATATATTTATATATTTAGGCCGTCTATAGAATTCCTATCCACACTTAACAACTAATTCAACTTCCTATCCAGTTGCGTGGTATCGACAATTTTCAATAGACTTTCTGCACACTTTCAAGCGAAGTCCATAGAGTACAGATGATACAAATACAATAGAATTTCTATCACCACGTCTCAAGGGACTTTGTGTCATCATATTTCTATAGAATTTGCATAGACTAGAACCGACAGAATAATAAGACGCAGTGCGGAGAAGCGACATCAGATTCACTTGGAGCCTCCTTGCGGAGGCTGCTTTTTTCGACTGTGCCAAATAATGATCCCCTCTTGCAGTGCTTTATAGTTGGAGAAGCAGTTCCCCAACCCTTATAAACTATATTTCGCATAAAGCATGCGCGAAGAAAAGCAACATGCGTCTAATTTTTTTGTTTTTCATCTTCTGGGGTGGTCCTCGTTCAAGTGATCGTCTTTCAAGTGTACGGCATATATAGCGGCGGACCAGTCAACACTATTGCATTACTTGTGTTAGGAGTGATCCGTCGCGTTTGTATTTGTGATGTCTGCGTATCGGTACACGACAAGTGGTGATTGCGTGTTTCCATGGATGTGTCCTGACAAACCTAAAACTAATTTACATAATGCGTAGTATTTTCGCGAAAAATTGATCTGTTGACGCTAGGAAGGGAATGGAAGCATCGTCAAAATCTCAACCTGTTTTTTATACAATTTTTATACGTTCTTTGTCCAATCTTAGTACACTATGTTCTAAAGAAACTAAACAAAAAAGGGCCAAAAAGCCATAGACAGTGGATATAAAAGTGGATGTACTTTTTTAAAGTATCTATAGCCTCTGTACACTATTTTCTATAGAAATCCTGTAGAAAGTGGAGCATTTTTGTGTAAGGGAAGCGAAGTATAATCTTGGTTCAAACAGTTCTGCGCATTTATTTATTTTTTTGAACACAGAATGTTTTTATTGATTGGCACCTAATCTTTGTATAACTGCCCGTAGAAATTGTACAATTCTACCTTTTTGCGGAAATTCTCTTTTTGATTTGTCTTATTCAAAGTGGGTTGGGGCGCATTTGCTGTCACTTACTAGAAAAAAGACAAAATGTCCCAAAACTCGTGTATGGCCACCGAGGCCGCGGACATAACTGCGCGCCAAGATCTCACTTTGAGGCTATTGTCGGAATCGGTGAAATTCAGGACCGGTTACACGATTGCTTCCTTCGTGTGGCGGTTTCTCAACATTTCTGGGGACGCTCCAATTGGGACCACCGCTCATGTCGAGCGATCAACTGCTTGCACACTCTCCGTGCTTCAATAGCAAGCGATCCTGTGTCGCTGTGCACACCAAGTGTTCTCCCCTTTGGGCTCTAGTGACTAGATCCTGGGAAAGTAATGCCAAGCTCCCGATATGGTCGTCCTATTGGTTCATGGACTATTCAGCTTCGCCTTGACCTCTCCATTCATGGTGAGACGATCCAATTTCCCCAGTGACACGCTGCTTTGAAAACACATTTCTTGTATAGAAAGCGTTGGCTACCCACGCATCGGCTGAACATGCACACAGCTTCGCACCACCACCATATGCGGCGTCGATGCTTGGCGAAATTTAAAAAGGGATTTCGCCACCTTTCAACAGGCCAGAAGAACAATAAGGCTGAAAGAAATCCGAGTCGATAAACATGATTGATATGTTGACTACAGACACAACGCCAAAGGTGCCTATATTTGCGAGGAACACTTTCAGCACTATGAAGCTCCATAGCGAATTTGAAACGAGTGGTTCAAAACGACCCTTTCGAGACTTGGAAGATTTGATAGAACCAAAATATCGATTCTCATGGCAACATACTAATCAGCCATATCGCCTGGCGAGGTTTTGGTCGACTGTATGTTAGTATGTGTTTTTGTGCGGCTAGCAGGCAGGGAAGGCGATGACGCCACTTTCCCAAGATGCAGCTAGTTTAGTGTGGGCTCAGCACAGGGGATTCCAAGGAGGCGAGGCAAATGTCTACGTTCATGTCTTCCTTTGTCTCTTCTTTGATGAGTCATAAGTTGTGTCTCACGCCCCAAGGAAAATAACGCCCACGTGAGAGTCAATTGAACAGGAATGATGATGAGGGCGACATTGGAAAACTTATCGCGATGTCCGTGCGTGAGTTTGCCCCACTCGATCTTTCCCCTCGAAAAAAAGCACACTGCTAAAGTAGTAATAATCATAATAGAATACAATTCGTGAACTCAAGAGACGACCAGAAGCCCAGTTTATGGATGGCTTCTGAGAGTTTCTTGAAGTCCGAACATGCGTTCCGAAACATGCGAGAGGGGGACAACAACGCTCGGCGAGTTTCTTCTCCTATGCCGTCGATGCTCACCTTGAGTGGCGTTGAGTCGGTCGAGCTCCGGCGGGCGGGCCACAGTCCCGAGCTCCGGGCGAGACACTCCCGGGCCGCGAGGGAATTCCCGATCACGCGGTCGCGCTGCTGGGCGAGCACTTCTCGGGGCGACCGATGGTGGCGGCGAGGAGCGGCCTTTGACATCGATCGTCGAACGGCGTGTGAGTCGGCCGCTCGGCCCGTATTTATGCGGGCTAGGACCGCTGCGGAGCGCTGGCCAGTGGCGCCCTCTGGAACGCCTGTTGCTCGCGCATCCCCGCCGAAGGGCCTACGCTCCGGGATCCCGAGCTGTTTGTTGTCATGGTCCAACGTTTCGAAAGGTTGGTTGATGAACGATGGCGCGGGGACTGGATTCCTTCACGTCAAGGTTTTTTTTTGCGTTTTTCTTTATTTTGTTGAGGAAGAGAGAGGGCCGGGAAAAGCGGGGGAGGAGGGAGGGAAAAAGAATGTACATTTTCTTAAAAAAGGGAATGCCACGTTCAAACGCTCATCATGATGCTCGCCCGCTCTCGTCTCCTTTGGACGTATGAGCTGATAAGAGACGATAAGTACGTCTACGTGACTCATCATCTTCTGCGTTTTTCCCTTGAGCACGCTTTGATCGTCTGCACTAGATTTCCTCGAAGAAATAGAGCACGCCGCGCGTGCGCCCACTGCCCGATGGGGGGAGAGATTTTGCTCCAGTGACAAATATGAGAAAAGGTCCAAATTGTAACAAAAAAAAAAAAAAAAAAACTGGAGAAAGCAAAACTGAAAATAAAGGTTTAATAACGCGAACTTGCGCCTGCTAAAAACAATTGAAAGTATCCAACATCCTGCGTTGTTAACGGGCTGTCTCGGAGCAGCCCTTTTCCGCTCATTTCATGCACGCGGTAAATTCAGGAATGTTCAACACCAGAGCCCACGATGACAGCTCAGAATGAGCTGGAACTTTCTTGAATAGTACAGAATTAAAAAAGAAAGAACTGGGTCGAGCGGGGCTCGAACCCCGTTCCTCTGAATGGTAGCCGCGCGGGTTGCCATATCTCCTCCACGTCATGTTTTTTTTTCTTTTTTTTTTTTATATATATTATTTTTTTTTATTAAAAAAAAAATAAATACGCCAAATTTAGCAAACGTACCGCTAACCGCGTCCGCCAACCCGGGCTGGCGCAATAGGGTCAACAGGCTTCCAAATTGATCAGCTCATAAAGAACACGCAGTCATTCAGGCTGCTTGTTGCGCACACTGCACGTTTTTTTGTCAGTAGAGAACATTCTCCATAAAATTGTTCCTGACAATTTGGGCATCTCTATCTGCGTGTTGCACCTACGTTCGTAACCTCTACATGCCGTGTAGGCTCAGTAACATAAGTATATCATAAGGCACGCCCCCTTCGTTTCCAGCTCCCAGGAAACGGATGCCTTGGGCTGATATTGGCAAGGACGTTTTCCAGGTGCGCTGAATAATTTCCCAGTAATATACTGCATCCCAGTATTCCAGAAATATATGCTCTATTGTCTCTGGTGTTTTGACGTCAGGCCAGTGCTTGCCGGGGAGCGTGTCACGATGCCATTGGAAACAAAAAAATCACAGACTGCCGGACCGGCAACGTTTTCGCCTTTTTTCAGGACATACCGACCGGGGCCCGCAGGGTGAGGAGAGCAGTACACGGGGATCGGAAAAACCACGGCGACAAGGTTTTTGTACAACCGCCTTTGCAGAACCTCATTCGGGGGCTCGAAAGGACCCTGTACCTTCAGCAAACGAAAAGCCGCGATCACGTCATACTAAAACACTCGCACTCTCGCACATTTGACGTTACTCGTCGAGGCGTCAAATTCAGGGAGTACGTCACGCAGTCTGACTAGTAGTACTGCACTCAGAAAGAAATCTTGGCCACGCAGGAAAATGAATCTGGAAGCGAGCTGCATCGGAAACAAATTAGGCAATTTCAAACCCCCAATTCGCACAAACAGAAACAAGTTTGTTGTTTGGCCTGCTCCCATCTCCATCCCTACGCTAAGACGGCGAACACTTTATGAAACTTTTGAACATAGACTTTGGATATCCACGGTGACTGGAGTAGATACCAGAGCTCCCCTACAAGAAACGCATTACAAATATTCACGCGCGCAAACGTTAAAAAAATATACCAGTCTATGGCTTTCTCTGGAACGTATTCAGTTTGTTCTCTCTACAGTCCTCGGTAGTGTCCTAGCTGGTTGTGTTCGAGGGATACCCGAACGTACTTTTGCGGCAAAACAGTACTGTATTTTTTAGAAAACCGAAGGCGTGCTTTAACAGCAACCATGCCAAAATCAAGCGAATTTGCATTAATTGGCGATGCTTCCCGAACACTTACAAAATAGCCCGTTTGACGACCTTACTTATGCCTTCTTGATTGTTACAGAAAACGGCAATATCATCTGCGTAGGGAAGAACTTTGCTTTCGATCGATAATATAACCTAACACCTCGCACTCTCTTATTATAACATGATTTCAGATAAGATCGACCAAAGGGTGGCTAGTCGACATTTTTAAATCAACTGATGCTTTTATATGCTATTGTCTAGTGCCTGGTATGAATGAATCCAAACTTAGTTTTGACCAGAAAAAAGTATTTGGGGACAGAAAAAATCGTAAGGCATGAAGAGGTGGACAGTTGCATTAAAGGGACACTGACAGGGTATTTATGCTCGCCGAGAGTTTCAGTTGTACGTGGCATGTGAGAGCCCAGCTACCCAGAACAGAATTTGCGGCTCGAAATTCGGTTTCTTTCCGCCCGAAAACCGCAGATCGAGAACTGAGCGGTTTGAGTCGCGCTCACTTTCTTTTCCGTGGTCACGGGCCGTTTTCTAAGGTTTCGACGCGACCACCAAATTTAAGCAAATTCGTAAGTCATTGAAGGCACACAGTCAATATTAAAAAGAGAAAAAAATATGAAACCCATTTTTTGTGCCTTCCAACAAGCTGCAAATACGTTGATTGAAAAAAATGTAGCATAGACAACCGGAACCATTCTGTGCGTTCACTGTATAATTCTCAACATGGCGTCCTTTCGCGTATCGTGGGGCTAGCGGATGGCAGCGGACGACGGACGTTGGACCTCTACACTGTTAGAAAAAAGGGTATCGATAGTCCTCCCTAAGGGGAGGAACGGTCTTGTAACCTATGTTCCTTTAGAAAGGGAGAAACTTTCGTCCCTGAAGCAGGGGAGCAAATAGTTCCTCCGTCGCCTGCATCTCTATATGGCGGCCCTGAACCGAGCAAGTCGAGCTCTGTGAGGCTTAACGAGAACGCTACGTCTCTTGTACGGGACGAGAGGAGCAGCAAATAAAAGCGTTACACGAGCTTTCCGCGAGCTGCGTTTATTTCCGAGGCCAGATTCCCCCGCAAGTACAGAAACTTTCGTTTCGAAAGCAGTTACTCCGTCTTCTCGTCGTCAGCACTGCGATGTTAAACGGAGACAACCGATACCCAGTTACTTCGCGCCCTTTACGTCTTACCTTTGCTGTTCCTCGAGTCACAATTCCTTCGTCAACCGCACATCACGGAGGAATGGAAAACCAATCCGCGAAACCAAAAGCCGCTCTCGAAAAAAACAACTTGAAACCGCTGTTGATAGCGTTGCGTGAAAGAAGGTTGAATCGTTTGCCACCAGATGGCAGGGCCAAGCAGAGTAATGCAAGTAGCTAGACTAGGTGGCGCTAGGTACCGCCCAATTCATGTTCTAGAAAAAAGTATTTTTATTTTCTCAAGCCACCACACTCTAAAAAAATGTGTGCGTCTACTTTCACGCACAACACTCGGGGAGCCAATCAGCGCAACTTACGGACGCAGCTCAGCGAATGACAATGCCGAAACATGTTTAGACCAAAAAACGCCGTCTGAGTTGTGACATTAAGCAATGCAAAACGTCACGCTTGCATTGCTGAATGTCACAACTCAGGCTGCGTTTTTTGGTCTAAACATGTGTTTCGGCATTGTCATTCGCTGAGCTGCCTCCGCAAGTTGCGCTGATTGGCTCTCCGAGTGCTGTGCGGGAAAGCAGACGCACGGACTTTTTTTAGAGTGCATTACGAATCGGGATCTTCGGGAACCTCCGCGACCTCTCCCATACACACATGTGGACACATTACGCATACTACAAGCATCAGGTGAACATACATTGAGCGCATAGTCGCATACACATAGATGGCACCAGTGTTGCGGAGTTGCCACTCTGGAGTTGAAATGATTCCGGAGTCATTCCGCATTTTCGCGACCCCTGAATGGAATGGGAATGGAATGGCGGCAACGATGAGGGGAATGGAATGGGAATGGAATTAGATGTCATTTGCCCGGAATGGAATGGGAATGGAATGGGCCCGGTTCTTTATTATTTTTTTTTATTTTTTTGAGCGGGAAGGGGGGGGGGGGGTTATGTTCAGCTAAACGGAGCCAGTCAGCGAGTCAGTTGCTCACAAAAAAAAAACAAATGTGCGGGAAACTGCTATACTGCGCGACAACTTTTCTTGGCAATGCAGTGGAAGGTAGAGGCCCGCGTCCCCTCCCATTTTGAGTGTACGCAGGCTCTCCTCCTCCCCCATTTTCGGGGAGAGGAGGAGAGCCTGAGTGCACTCAAAATGGGAGAGGGTACGCGGGACGTACCTTCCACTGCATTGCCAAGAAAAGTTGTCGCCGAGTGTAGCAACACAAAAGGCAAGCGTCAGAGCAAAAACCAAATGGGGGAGGGGGGGGGGCGGGGGGGGCGGTGGCGCCTTTCACGGACGCGCAGACGGCGGGCTTTACTGGTGTTACACGAGAGCGAAACAAGAAACCAATCACCAAGCGAAGGAAGCGGCAAAGAAGCCTCCATGCGCGGCTCCTCATCGTGCATCCTGTATTACATTTTTTTTTTTTTTTTTGTTTGCGACGGCATGGAGAATGCACGCGCGCGCGCAGACTGAGATCTGGGAGCGGGGGGCGACTCATAACTCGCACAGCTCTGAGAACTGGTTGACTCGCTTGCCGCCGCAGAAAGATGATCAGTTATTGTTTTCTTGTAGTTCGAGGAGCGTTGTTTAGCAGGTGGCCAACCTTGCCGCCTTCCACGTTCATTCGCGCGCACTCCTTTGAAGTGCGAAAAAAGCGAGATTCACTTCTCACTTCTCCTCTTGC